CTGGCATTACCATAACTTTCGTCAGAGTGTTCTGGAGTCGGTGTCTAGATGTTGGCTTGTTAGTTGAGCTCCACGGAAGACATTACACAAAACAAAGTCCAGAAGGAAGAAAAGGTTTCAAACTTTATTTTCACTGTGTATGAATATTTTTTCACAAGCGTTCTTTTTTTTCCCGGTGTGGAGTCTGTTTCTGTTTAAGTAGCTGGTTATCCCTCTGCGAGGACACCAAAGAATAGAGCATCCCACTCGTCCAGTAGTTTAGCGGATGTATTCATCTTGCCATAGAAATATGAACATTATTACTCTATTTCATTGGACTGAGGAGATAGCTTTCTGCGTAGTATCCTATTTTGCTATGGAAAATTATCATGGGTATTATACGAAATGAATTTTCTGCTTGCTGTTATTCCTTTCTCAGAACACAAACAGACACGATGTGTTGCAATACAATTCTGTCTTGGAAAAAATGGCTTCTTTTGGTTCCTTCAGCTTTGTGAAAATACTCCCTAATGATGAACTCATTGCTTTTCTTTACTTTCTACCACAAATTGTGTAACTATTCTATTAGAAATAAATATTTTACATTCTATAGTCCATTGTGTGTTTTAAGTTGTCTTAAGCCTTTTTTTCATGGCTGTATATATTTCATGATGTATATTTCTTGTTGTGGGAATTTACTTGTGTTTATATATTAATCGTGGCATTGATAAATTACTCTTAGTTAAAAGAAAACCGCATGTTTTTAGAGCCGCCTTTGTGTGGGAGAAAAAAAAATGAATGCTTTTGGAGTTATTGGGTAGTGAGTATTTATTTCTCAAAATGGGAGCCTGTCTCCCAAGTCATCCATTCCAGAGACTGTTTCTTTCAAAGAGAGAAAAACTAGTGGGAATACAATTCCTTTTCAAAATTTTATTTAAATATCCACAGGCTTTCCTATTGAAAGATGACCAGCCCTCTGTGTATGGAGAGTGGCCACATGAATACGCTACCCGAGTCATCCTGCTGCTCTACTCAGTTATTAAATGGCCTCTCTCTTCTCATATTATTCACAGCCTCGCCCCCACATGGCAATTTAATTAGTGCTTCCTGACCTGGATGTTTTCCTGTGATAGCATATCCTTGGCATAGATTATTTTCCTCTTTCCTCTGTGTGAGATATCCTGTGTTGCCTGTATGATACAACATTAAACACATTCATGGTCTGTTCCTAGTGTGTTGTCTCCACCACGTGTGCTGGTTGGATTGGAGTCTGTGCTTCTTCCTTTAAAGTGCATTGGCCAAATAGTATTTAAGTCATCTGGCTTCAAGGGAATGTGTCTAAGTGCAAGGTGCAAGCCTTTTAAGATCATCTGGAAATGAATTCCAGTTGTTCCACATCCTTCTGCGTTCTCCTGCGTCTGGTGATGCTGCTCCCCATCAACAGCTCTAAGATCCGCCATGCTTCATTACACTCACTTATGCTTCATTGTAGGCATTTAAATAAATTTAACCGGCCTACATAATGACGAGCTTGTGTCTTTCGTGGACTATAAAGTAGTCTGCATGCTTTTTAAGCATCGCCTCAAGGCACACCTAAATATAGATGCTCTGACTCAAGATGACACCCAGGAAGTTGGAGGCGGTGCCTTGGAACGTGGGTAGTTCTGTCGGGTTTCAGCCAAGAAGGAAGGCCTTTTGTCTTCTGATGTATGAAAAATACATTTTAAGTGATGTGAAGTGCTAGTCCATATCACTACAGTGGTGGCGTTCTAATGTAGTTTCAGTAATATAAACACATTATCTGTGCCTCAGATGCTGCATTGCTAATTTGTAAGACATTGACTGTCAGGACTGCAGCTGCTCTGTAGCGTCAGATCGAGCGTGGCTTCGTTATACCACAGTACAGATGGCTGATAGAAAGCAAGAGAAAGGAGCCCATGCAAAAACCATATTTTGAATTAGCTTATATATAATATGTTTCCACAGAAAAGACCAAGTAGGTAGGAAAATATATGCATGTACACACATGATCTATCATCTTCTCTGTGGCAGTTATTTCAGGAAATGTGGTCTCCAGTTTTTAATCTTTTAAAAATATTTGTACTAATTCTTTGAGAATCTTCTACACTGCTTTGATCATATTCACCTCCCTTCCTGCTCTTCCCAGATCCACACCCTCTTCCATATCCGCCCAGCCCTCTGTCCCCATTGGTTTTTACTCTTGGGCATGTGGCTGCCTGCTGGAGCACAGTCAACCAAATGGGACCCATACCTTAAAACAACAACAACAAAATACCTTTCCACTCCTGTTGTTCCTCAGCTTGGCCATGGGGCTTCATGCCCACCTCCACATCCTTCCTGACTTGTGCACACTGTCACAGATGCTGAGTTCATGCGTGCATCTGCCCCTTGTGTCCAGAAAACAGTTTTTGTTTTACTCATTCACTGCCCCTGGCTCTTACCATCTTTCCCTCCCCTCTTCCACAGTGACCCCTGAGCCTTGGAGGGAGTGAACGTGATGTAGGGATTCCGCGGCCTCTTATTCTCTATGTCTTGACTGGTGCTGAGGTTTGAGGGATGCGCTAGTGTATAATGGTAAATCACATGGGCTCAGCTTAAACCACTAGGTCCACTAAACAGAGTAAAGAAGGCTCTGCCCCGACCTGTGATCTGTCTAGCCACAGGACCTGATAACACTGCCAGCTTTGGGATTACAAGCAGGTGCTGCCACCCAGAATTTTATGTGGGCACTGGGGAACCAAACTGAGGTTTTCATGCATCTGTAGCAAACACCAACTGAGCCATCTCTCCAGCCTTAGAGGTGAATTCTATTTTTTTTTATTGAAAATAGATTTTTCATACAATAAAGTCTGATTACGGTTTCCCCTCCCAGATCCTCCCCCATCTCGACACCCACCCAAGTCTGCACCCTTTCTTTCTTTCTCTCATTAGAAAACAAGCGAGTATCGAAAAATAATAAAAACAAACAAACCAGAATGAGACCAAACAAAGGAGCTAAAGCATGTGCAACACATGGCTGCAGAGTCAGGCACGTTTGCACACATGGAAATCCCGTACAAACACAGAATTGGAAACTGAATGTTATATAACATAGTGTGTAAGCGACAGACCTGTAAAGAAAATAAATCCCACACAAAGCTTTGTGAGACAAAACAATAACAACAATAAAAACCCTCTTCTGGCCCTTCATATAAAACTGACCTCCCTGCCTGGTGCTCATGTTTGATCTCTTTATCTCTTCAAACTTCTGACAGTGTCTCCAGCTTGCAGAGAATTTCCTTCTGTCCCCTCCCCTCCTCAGAGGACTTCTTTTGACCACCATGCCATCTCTTTCTGTCCCTTTATCTGACTTCATTGTGTTTATTACCTAACATTTGAAATTGTGTTGTCTGTCTCCAGCTTTAATCCCCCGGGTCAAGGAGTTCTGTTTATTGCTTTATCTGCAGCATCCAGAACTACATCCTCTGCATGGCAGGTGCTCAATAAATATGGATCAAATCAATATTCTCAAGAAGATTTAACAAAGAATGCTCCCACACACGGTGCCTTTTGATCAGTTTGGTTGTGATAAGTACGGTTACTTTAACATGCCTCTCGAGATTCCTCCTGACCTAGAATTCCCGGATATGTCCCGACCACTTACTGCACACCAATCTCTCCGCTTTGAAGACAGGTGCTAGGATATGGACTCTGGATTCTCCGGCCAGGATTACTTGGCGACAACATTCACTTTCCTTTATTGGTTTGGGATCAGCACAGTTTGTCTTAAGTTCATGTTCATTCAGTCCCAGCACACAGCAGAGAGTAGAGAGGTCACTCTTCTGCCCTCAGCCCCACATCACCCTACCTCCTGCCCCTAACTCACCTCCCTTCTCCTTTGGTCTCTTTTTCTTGAGACAGTATCTCACACATCCCAGCCTGGCCTCAAGTTCTGTTTTTGCTGAGGATGACCTTGAACTTCTGACCCTCCTATCTCCACCTCCCAAATGCTGGGCTCATCCAGATCCTTCATGCCCCGCTGATGAGAGCTTTGTACATGTTAAGTTACCATTCTGAGAACGAGCCTTGAGGTCTCATGTTTTTTTTACGGGATTTCTGTCTTCAGGCTGGGTGAGGCTCTGTGTGTAAAGTTCTGTCTCTGGGCTGAATGCCAGATACCTCACTGCAGCATCTCATCAGACCCAGGAGCCCAGGCCTTGCCTCCTAAGCTCAGAGACCTTGCCTTCCATCTTAGTTCAGGGACACAAGCTTTAGCCCCTGGTACCTCTGGCTTCTTGGCATCTATTCTGTTTCTGACCTCTTCACCTTGAAGTTTTTCTTTTCAGACTCTATTTTGCATATATATTAAAAACAAAACATACTTCTGCGATACATTCATGCTTCCTTATGTCTTTGGGGTGGGATAGTTTCCCACATCTGCTCAATCAAGCATGTCAATTAAAGATGTGTGGGAAAGTTACTGTTTTAGCATTTTATAAGCAATGCTCCTGAAATGCTTGCTGCTCCCAAGGACCTATCTGCATGAGCAAGACCTGAAGTGTGTATTCTATACCTCTAGATGTTCTGATGTTTTGAGGAAAGGCTTGGTGTTAATCATGGATAATTCTTGTTCCATTGAACTTTAACACTTCTTAGAACTGTATCTTTTAATTTTTTCTAAGATTTTTGCAGACTTTTGTTTTCAAATGGAATGTAATTATAAGGGTGACTTTAAATATTAAGAGCCATTGTTTTGATATGTTTCATATTAATGTGAACACCAAGCCATGCTGACTGAATACTGGTTACCTTCCGAGGTGTTGTACCTCCTGGATGCTATCGGCTGACTTACTAATATCATCAATACAGTAAGATGTGTCTTATGTATCTTCAAGTTGAAACGCACAAAGTTTATACAGTTTCATGTGTTTGGACAAATAAAATTGGAAACATAGTGGTCAAATCAGGAAATTTACTCTGTTATGTGGTTTTCATTGACAAATTCATCTTTTTCTTGCCAGCTATTAAGACATCTTACCTGAAATCTGAAGACTTTTCCAGGAAGCCCATTGCTCCCAGTACCAGTGAGTTCTTGGATTCAACAGACAGAAACTACTATGCGAAATTATGGGCCAAGCTTTCATCCAAAAAGTCACCTGTGGTAAGGGTGGGGCAAGTGGAATACATTATCATAGGAACTACTCTGTCCAAGGTTAAAAAAGGGAGGGGGTAAGGGACCATCGGCCAAGCATGGTAGCCCGTGTCTTTAATCCCAGCACTCGGGAAGCAAAGACAGGTGGATTTCTCTGAGTTTGAGGCCAGTCTGGACTACATAATGAGACTCTGCCTTAGAAACGGGGGGATAGCTGGGCTGTGGTGGCGCATCCCTTTAATCCCAGCACACAGGAGGCAGAGGCAGGTGGATCTCTGTGAGTTCAAGACCAGCCTGGTCTACAAGAGCTAGTTCCAGGACAGGCTCCAGAGCTCCAGAGAAACCCTATCTCAATGCTGTCCCTCCCCCCAAAAAGCAAAAAAGAATTTGGAGATTATTAAGTTTTCCCAAACTGTTCTTTTACATCTATGAGCTGAGGACAGAATTCCTTCTCCCCTGACCTCTAGGAACAGTTCCTATTCCTAAAATTGAATTTTCAGTGTGAGTAAAGTTTTTGAGTACCTCAGGTTCCCAGCAAAACCCCTGGCATTCTGCTCCTTTGTTTGCAGTAGAAAAACAGCACAATAAAACAAACCCGGGAAAATGTCTATTTCAGGGGTCGAGTTCTCTGAGTTGGGTGTGACTATGAGTATCTGAGAGCTGGACTGGAAAACTAAGTCCACTTCAGAGTGTGCTTCATGTAACACTATGTGAAGCGGGCCCCTAACTTTACCCCAACGTGTCCAGAAACCAGCCCAGGTAGGAGTGCCTAACGCACAGCAGGGCCTGTGTTCAGAGTAGGCTCTACTCATTTCCGTGTGTAATGGTTTTTATGTAATGATCTGGGAATGCAGAGACTTAAAAAATTGCAGTTGCAGAATATACCTAACTTCTAGTTGGTCAACTCAAGGCCTGCTTGTTCAAAGCAAGTTACAACACCACCTTCCATAGTCAACCATGGTCAGTGGTCAGAAGAATCAGTGGTACCAGACTTGTGCCTAAGCATTCTACCGGAAGACATGGCAGGTGTCAGGGACTCTAAGTGCAGGAAGTAGATGTTTCTGCTTTGCTTTTCTGGGTGACCTCTTGCTCTAACTGGAAACAGGCCTACCTCTCTCGCCCACTCCCTTAGATGCAGTCTCCCACATCCCCACAAGCGTCCCGCTAGCTCTTCAGTTCGTATTGCTGAAGGCAAGAGTATAGTCAGCCTGTCTGACTCCTTAGCCATGCTTCTAAGGCCTTACAGAGTCTGCAGCCCCCGCCCCATCCCAAAGACTCCAGATTCGGGCAGCGTCAAGGCAGCAGGACGTGCATAAGCTCTTAAACCTCTACAAGTGACATGATACTTGAGCACAGAGACGTTGTTTGACCAAAGCCAACCATGTCTAGACTTCTCCCCCACCCACCAGGAGTTATGAGAAGTCAAACATTAGCCATTAGTAATGGAGATCACGTTCCATCTTTGGATCGACTTAAGGATTCAAAGGCCTCTGGCTGTTCTGGGAGGTTTCAGAAGGACCTGTAAATCACATGGTAACCTTGGAGATGTTCCTCTTGCAAGTGCCTGGATTCCTCTTCAATCCACTGGCTCTGGTGTTTCCTACATTCTCTCTTCTCCAGCTGGTAGGTTGGTTTTCTTTTTTTCCCAGCTAAGGCTTAGGTAGCCCTGAAATCTTACCATCTCCTGGATAACGGTTAGAAATCAACAGAAAAGGCATTTAATGGGAGTGCCCACTGCTCTCTGCCATTCTGGTTCTGGGAAACACAGGACCCTTCAAGTCAGTCTCCAGTTTCTTCATTTGCCCTCGACACCCCGGTTCTCTTGAAAGGTATGGCTTGTTGCTTCTAAGAGCTGAGGCTCCCAGACATAAGTTTTTTTTTTTCTCCCTTTGTAGCCTTGGGCATCTGGAGTTTAGAGATAATTTTTTTTTAAAAAAAAAATATGATTTGGGCTAGACTTGGTGGTGCAGAGACCCTGTCTCAAATAAACAGACTACAACAACAACAAAAGAATAAATTTAATGAAGAAGTGAACATCCTCTATAAAAACTTTAAAACGTTGAAACATCGATTAAAAAGACACTAGAAAATGGCAATGTCTCCCATGGTCATGAACTGGCAAAATTAGTACTGTCAAAATGACTATATTACAGAAAGCAATCTTTACGCTAAATGAAATTTTCATCAGAATTCTAATAGTGTTCTTCACAAAACTAGAAAAAAAATTAATCCAAAATTCATATGGAAGCACAAAGACCCTGAAAAGCCCAAGCAATCTTCAGGAGAAGGAGCCTTGCTGACAATCTCACAGTGACTCATCTCACGGTATATGCCATGGAGCTATGGCAACAAAATCAAGATGGTTCACACAAGCAAACACATAGACCAGTGGAATAGAATAGAGGACTCAGAAATAAACGCACCCAGCTAAGGTACAGCCGCCTGATCTTTGACGAAGGTGTCAAAAACACATTGCCAAAAAAGACAGCACGTTCGGAAAATGCCTGGAATGCTGGGTGTTCTCGTGTGAAAGGATGGGGACAGTGAGCTGGGAATGCGGCTCCATTGCTGGAGGTCTTGCCCAGCATACATAAAGCCCCGAGTTCAGTCCCAGCACTACGTGAAACTGGACACGGCAGCGCATGTCTACAATCCCAACACTTGGCAGGTCAGGGGAGGAGATCAGAAGTTCAGCGTCATTTCAGTTGCAAGGGCAGCTTGGACTACATGACACCCTGAAAAAAGAAACTAGATGCCCATCCCTTGCCCTGCACAGAAATCAATCCTAAATGAGTGACCTGGATTCTGAACCTGCTAGATGCACAGGGGAAAGGCTCAAGGTGGCATCGGAAAAGGGAGGCAGGGGCACAGGAAACAGCTCAAGAGTTTACTAGTGGGTCTACGTGAAATGAAAACTCTTAGTTAGCAAAGGAAACATTTATATCCAGCAGAACAGAGAGTCAGTCTCAGAGTGGGAAACAACCTTTGTCAATTACACACCAGGCGGTGGATTGATAGCTACACCTGATCTTAGCTAGTAAGGCTAGTAAGCAATTAGATTATTATCTAGGATCTATTTTTTTAAAACTCCAAAGGTTAAACACACACACACACACACACACACACACACACACACACACACACACACACACTCTATCCAGTCAGTAAATGCAATAATGAAATAAATAGGCAATACTCAAAGAAAAAAAATGTACATGACCAAAATATACTTGAAATGTGTTCCACATCCTTAGTTTAGGAAAATACAGATTAAAACTGCCCTGGAATTCTCTCTTGTCCAAATCAGAATGGCTAGTAGCAATAAAACGAATAACAGTAAATGCTGCCAAGGATGGGGATGGACAGGTCCCATACATGCCAGTGGGAATGTGAACTAGGGCAGGCACTATTGTTGTCAATATGGAAACTTGTCAAATAGCTACAGATAGAACGACCATGTGACCCAACAATTCATCCCCTGACTAAGCCAGCGTCCCGCAGAGTTATTTACACATCTGAGTTTATTGCCACGTGATTCACAATAGGCACAATATGGACCCATGCTGGATGTTCATCAAAAGATGAGTAGATGGAATAAAGCAATGTGGGGACGTGCACAGTATAAGTTCAGTCATCTCTAGAGGAGAATGGAATAATGATACTCCTAGAAGACTCAAGACTCAGACAATACTGAATGTTCCAACTGTGGGATCTGTTGGATTGTACATGTATCTTTCTGTGTCTCTGCCTCCCTCTCTATGCATATGCATGTGTGTGTGCGTGCCTGTGTGTGCGTGCATGTGTGTGCATGCATGTGTGCATGTGCGCATGTGTGTGTGTGACATGAAAGTAGAAGGGATTATGAGAGGAGGAAGAGATCTAATGAAGCAGGAAAGAGGAACAAGAGAGGGTAGTGGAATAAATGTCATGAAAAGCGAAAGGGGGAAGAAGATGAGAGGGCTGAGAAAGAAGAAAGGGGGAAGAATAAGAACCAGTTACATAAAATGTCATAATGAAATTATGTTTTTGTATACTAATAAAACTATGTTTGTATAAAAGGAAAAGAAAGAAAATATAAAAGAAGCCCGGCATGTGGTGCATATCTTTATCTCAGTACCGGTGGTGAGGCCCTGCAGAGGCAGATGGATTTCTGTGAGTTAGAGGTCAGCCTGGTCTACTGAACTAGTTTCAGAACAGCCAGGGCTATACAGAGAGGCCTCGTGTGTGTGTGTGTGTGTGTGTGTGTGTGTGTGTGTGTGTACAGACAGAGAGAGATGCACATATATATGTATGGATGTATACCTATATACACACACGCATGGTGGAATGGTGGGGGGATTGGAAAAGGAAAGCCCTTGACAGTGATAGACCAAGTAGAATTTGCACCCCACTTGCTTTGGGGTGTTTTGAAATTCTATTTCTCTGAAGCATATTTCTCACCCGTGTTGAAGATTGCATTCTTGTGGTTTTGATCAAACCCACCTTGAAATGCATTGTTCAGCGAGGCCTCTTCAGCACGGCCCCTCCAGTTGAGCATTCTGCTCTGACCGGGGCTAGAGTTTGGCTGCAGTGTGCCAGTCATGTGGGTCAAGGTGTGGTCACAAGATAATGAGGCCAGTTTCGTCTGTGACATGAAAATGGTCTGATTCCTTAGGCATTTCTAATGGTACATGCCATGGGCAGCTGAGTAAGATATACGTAACTCTGTACTTTTGGTCTGTGTTTCTTTCTACTGTTTTTTTTTTAAATATTGTCTTTTTCTATAAGACAATAAATGCACTCACTTCTGTGACAGTCTCTCACAAACGAAACTTATTTGCCATGGGATGTCACTTTCTCTTCTGAACATTCCAAATCCTGTCTACTTTATGACATCATTGTAAATGCACATGAAATGTCTTCATAAATTAATGACTTATGAAACAGATGTTCGTCATTGCCCTGTTGGTGACGGTTGGCAGGGAGTGGGGAAGAGCTAAGGCCTTCAGCTATCCTGGTCCACGTTCAGA